ACTTGAGGCACGTTTTGACACACGATTATACATATGTATATAATGAATGTTATAAATGATATAATTGATAGTATCGTAACATACGACGCGCCTGACAATTGAAGTTTGTAAGAAGGGGGAAGATTTTGGCGGCGGAAATTGTGTCACCCGATGTGTGCCGTGTTGTCGCTCCAGCCAGGCCAGACGTAACACGAGACTGACCATACGAGGCGGCCGCCTCATGATGCCTAGTACATACCATCTCTTACCAACACCGATCGGAAATTACCAACACCATAGTCACCACCATCACCATCTCGAGCGACTAAACTCGAGGCTCGCGAAAGCAACAGATACCTCGGCCAAAGGCAGTCTGGTCCTCCCTCCTCTTTCTTTCTCTTTCTCCCTCTCGCGCTCGTTCTCTTTTTGCCTCACAAGCTTTCCTACGATCTCCGCTTCCCTCTTCCTCTCATCTTTCACGAGTTAGGTGACTAACGGTGTGGCTGACACATTATCTGCGCTTATTATCTGCGACCGTGACATTAATGATAACACCGACCGAATTGTCGAAGGATCTGCAAACATACTGCAGTCACAGTCGTATTTTTTACAATTACACTTAGTAATTAGTATTGCGAAATGTGTGTTAAAAACAATTACTTCGCGAGCTCACGGTGGAGCGATTATGATTTGAACTGCTAGTCGAGTTTTAATTTGACTTAATTGTATTGTTGCCCGATTTCAATGAAGCAGTTTGCGTTAACAAATTTTTACTCGACGCTTCTCAATCGTTTAAAGTTGTTTTTAATAAATTTGGGTGATATAGCGTATGATGATTTAATGCGCTTGAAGTTGTTTATCATAAGAGTATGACGAATTTAGATAGATGTCCGAGTATTGTGTTGTCTTGCCTTACATCGGTAAGTTAGATTGCGAAGACGCGCAAAGCGAGAAGATACTACCGGCGAAATCTCTTATTACTCGCGGAAACCTGTCACTGAATATTTTAATATCGATATGCGACGGGGAAAATCTCTTTCGAAATGGTCGGACATGGTCGAAATAGTCGCGCGTAGTTGTGAAATTTCTCGTCGAATTTCTCATTTGGTTGTTTTCTTTTTGACCGACAATTGTTCGTTTCTAACGGGAAAGTTGTCGTGTGTATCCGAACGATATTCGGCGGGCCGAAAAAAGCGCGCTTTTGGAGGATCTCTTCAGGTTTTCAAAGTACCAAGATATGCCGGAATGCAGACAATATTAATAATCCCGGTATTTCCATTGCGATCAACGTGCAGAGATCGCTCTTTATTTGAGTGATTCTTCACCTGAAATGAAATTATACAATATACGCACCACACAGATTACAATTTATTTGTTTAAAATAAAACGTGTGTGACGCAAGCTTTTGAATAATGCGTATTGTTTATTTATGATTTTCACTATCATATGAGAAATATTTGAACAATCATACGTATTTTCCAATTTACTGTTTTTAATATTCGGATCTATATATCGTGCGAAAACCTATTGTAAATATAGCTTTGCTTTGTTGCTTTGGATATTTTTGTTATTATTATAGGAATCCTATCTGCAAATTTGTATTTATAATATTAGAATGTTCAGTAATTTTACATGCCGTATGTAAAAATATGTCATCTTAATATTTCTGAATTTTGTACTTATATCGATTAACGATTACCTCACATCATAATTTGTTACAATATTTGATTAGAAATTTACAAATGTAGTGTGCATTGTGATTACTTTAGCAATTGCGAAAAAGCTGGCGTTGTCACGTTTTTTTTGTCACTTTTTTAAATTACCCGTTTACATCCGGATGGTGTGACCGCACGTGCTCTCGTCGATGAAACTGGTTACAGTTTTCGCGTAATAGAAAGTGGAATCTGTGTATACGTTACTCTATTTCTGAAACGTTTCTTACGTTAGAACTTGGTATGATCGCTCGTCGCGTTCGCGTAGCACCCGGCCGAAACTTCGAGTGCGATGAGGAGGAAGTTTTCGATAGTTTCCAGGGGTTAATTTTAAAGGCGATCATTGATTCCGTACGATGTCCGAACGCCGGATGTGCTTTGTTTATTAGTATACTTAAGATGGACAAACAAAGGTACAATGTTAGCACGAGATGCAACGATCGACTCGCAGCATCGGCTGGATAGCTTTAGCGATTTCGATTGAAAGTGCTCTTACAGCGCCAAAATTAGCGGAAAATTTATTTTATTTACATGAACATGTCAGGTCTTTCGTAAATCAGTTAACAAAATAATCGCATTTCGGTGATTTGGACTGCATGGAGACACATTGGCACTCCGTTTTCGAATTTATCAAACAATCGGCGCTTTTATTATCTTCACCGACTGAAACGATTGTAATGTTGTTTATTAATAATCTAATGATATGTTGTATCGTGTTGTACACTGACAACTTACGTTATTAATCATAAATATTAACGTCAGACGAGATAAAACGAATATTGTAGGAACACATTTTACTCATAGATTATATTGATTTTACATCAAAATATTATTATTACATTTATTGTCGGGAAGCATTTTTATAAGAGCGTACTCGCAAACTTATATCATTTGTATCAACTTGTCGACATTTTTTAATGTAATATGCTTGATATATCTGACAATGGCTGGGATTCATAATTTTTTAAAGAATTCTTCTGCAAAATTTGACAAGAGATATATGATTAGAAATCCGTTCATTTGCTTACTCTTCATGATTTCCAAAAATAAACATTGATCGTAAAAGATGTAATTCCACTCTTTCTTTGTCGTAACTATCAATGCACAATGATATTATACGACATAAGCTTTTTTTGTTTATTTTGTCTCGAGCTATATTGTCATTCTGGCGTGAAAAAGTTAAAAGAAGATATGAAACACGCGTGTTCACGATAAGCAATAAACGTTCGAAAATATTGAAACGATAAGGTTAATTTGTCTTACAGAATGCGATCATTGCAGCATAAAGCTCAATTTTAAACACTATCTCTCTATATATTCGTGATAGAATATGTGGCAAAATATTATTTCTAACTTTACACGTGCCGTGTAATAAAATATATATTTCAATATTTGAATATATAGGTGTTTTCAAATATTATTCTGATTTTACCGCGGTTTTTCACAATTTGAAAATTTCGCCACGTATTCTCCATTTACAAGTAATAAATTATTTCAAGTTGGCTTTAATTTGTAATGGCATTTGTCGAACTTTAGAACTTCTAGAAGGGAATAATTATTCGTCAAATAGCAGAGATTTTAATAAATCCTCGTCTTTTAACGTGTTCTTCACGATTTTCTCGTAAATTAATGTTTACATTCCCAACGCGCAAGCCGCGTATGTGCACGATTCCGTCAACGGAGGGGGGGGGGGATTGGTTACGATCTCCTGCGTAATAGAAGCAAAATCTGTGTATACATTATTCTATTTCGGAAACGCTTTCCGCTTTCGCGCGCATAACAAGCGCTCGCAATCCTCACATGTGTGTGAATTATGCTTTCGACAGTTTCCGAGGGTTAATTTTGTAAGAGGTCATTGATTCCATTCAATGTCCAAGAGCCGGATGCGCCGGGTTTATTGGCGTATCTTAGATGGACAAACAGAGGTACAATATTAGCGTATGGTGCAGCGATCAACTCGTAGTACCGGATGGATAGTTTCACCGATTTCAAACCGAAGTGTTTTTAAAGAGTCGAATAAGAATCGTATTTATTTGCAAATGTGTGTTAGATAGCACGTGAATCCAGGAGCGAAGTAACTGTAGTTACGCATTCTGGCGATCATGCTAATATAAAAAATAGGACGACGCTGAGATTTCATTCTGCTTTATTATTCGGCTACTTCTTCATTATCGGTTGAAATTGTTGTGATGTGGTTTATTAAAAACACCGTCGTTTTATAACACTTGTTTACATTTGTAATACAGAAGAGGAGAAGGTGGTATTATGGCAGCCCATTTGCACTTTTACAATAATTTTGTTAATAATCAATATATTAAATTGAAAACTTGACGATTACATTCGTTAAAGTGTTGTTTAATCGATACTAGGCTCAAAGTTATGAAATATTGATTACTTACGAGGACAATTACTTACTAGGACGTTATTTATGAAAAATATGGCGACGCTTCGTAATGGGTTGAAGAGGAACAAAGGTGGTAATGTGGCTCCTCACTAAAATAGATTTAAAAAACTGGTTTTGTTTAAAAAATACAATGTATCATTACAAATTTATATATTTATGCTAATTAATATAAACTCGTAGAAGAAACAACAATGAATATAACCGTGAATTTTAATATAGATACCGATTTACTTATCAGAAGAAACACGAACTGTTAAAAAGACAAGTTCTACAAAACGAGAAGTTTAAAACTAAACCTTTGAACTTAAATTATTGACTTATCAAATAACTACTCTGACATGAAAACCTGGAAAACGGGGCCAGTATTAAATCTACTTTACATAACTCGAAACGTGTACAGCGTAGTAAATGTTAAATAATAAACAAAACATTCAAGTGTACATATATTCGTGTGATAATACGCTTAAGTGTAAGAGAAAGAAGGATGTATATGTAATTAAATGCTAATACACTTTGAAAACGTTTCGAAATGTTCGAAGATAAAATTGCATTATAACAAATTCCGCCTACTGTATATTGACATATTAGTATTACTGCGTAACGACGGGCTATTAAACCAATAATTCCATAAATAATCGCTAGGATTTCATTGTCATTTAACAGCGGAGATAATAAGGGGAACATAATACCTACAATAGCCATAATATCACTTTCTCCTCTGTTGTTTTCCTTAGCAGCTTGACATGTAACTCTTTGTTCTTATATCAATTCATCTTCCGTTTAGATTACGAAGAATGTCGTTCGCATCTAATCATTCTATCTTCTAATCTAATTCCTTCTTTGTTATTAATCATTCCTTCTTTGTTAACCTTATTCCACAATGTTACTCGTTGACAATTCTCGCGTCAATGTTGCGTAGAATAAAGTACGGTGAAATAAGATATGGAGGAACTCGCTAACTGTAACGAGAAAGATTTTTTACTTGGATGATAATCTCCCGAAGCGCGCTATCTCGAGTATATTCTAACGGATTCTCCATACCGTGGCCGAGCTTTTCAAAGATCCCACAAACAATCCGCCGAGAGTCAGATTGAAAGCTTTGTTGTCTCTTTGCAATAGGAACATTATCAACTTCTGTACTTGCAACGGGGCTGTGTACCATTGTATCTGTGAAATGAAATGACGAAAAGTTAATATCCGAAGAAGAGGTGATCAGAAGAGTCGTGATTAATTCGCCTTACGTATACATTCACTTTGCGGAGTGCAATTTATTTCCGCTAACTCCGCGAAGCGAGTACTCGTGTGTGCGATTGTATCACGCATAATAGTTCCCTTACACGTTCACGAATACGTCGTTATTGTGATCTGTGATTTCTTGCGCAATATAGTTGGCTATAAACATATACACAAGAATGATGTTTGAGTATGTAAGATGCATGAACATATCGTCCACGTTGTTTTCGAACAATACGATCTGAGAGATCTGAAACGTCGTGCGGTTGCAATGAGACTCTTCCGGAATATCGTAAGATTGCGTTCTCATGTTCGTATTGATGTAGATTCCAGCTGAGAGGTATTCAGATTGAAAAGTATGACAGAAAATAAGCCATGCGAGACTTACACGAAATAGATTTAAGCTCAGACTTATCACACCGAAGATGATTAAAACGAAGAACGATCCTTCAAAATTGGTTAGTAAATATTTGGAGGACCTTCGGGGGGAACAGGCCAAAGTTATTTCTCATGCGCCACGTATTTATTACCTAATAATTACTAACTTCATAGCTTTGCGATGAATGTCCACAGCGTGGATAATCTTCCCTATCATACGAATCATAATTTCTTTCCTCAGACCAATATGTTGTTGAACGTTAGTCTTCATCGCCTGCTCGATACGGTAACTACAATACGATACGGTACTACGAATAATCTTTTCGCTGTAATAGCTTTCCAAATTAGTTACAAAAGAAACAAAGAAACAAAGAAGAACAAACAAAATCTTGTTTAAAATCACATCGTATCATATCAATCAAGTCATTTCAAGGTCACTTCATTTTTTTAAATAGAACCATATAATTGTTTAAACATAAATCGGTTATTTTGTTCATTTTATATAAAAGTACTGAGGTAAGATAATTGAAAAGTGAATACTTTCCGAGATATTTTACTTTTTACTTTAATATTTTTCACTATAAAAAAGATATGCAATACATGTGCCTCATGAAGTATTCATTTTTCGACAACTTCACTTTAATATTTTTGCACATAGAATGACAAGAATGACATCGCTTTAAGTAAACATAGAAAAACTTAAAAAGAAAATACATTGCATTTTGTAAAATGGAGTTTGGCATTGCAAATATTATTCAAATTATTAAAAAAACCGATTATTATTTTCAAAATTTTAGAAGGGGGCAAATATTCCGCTGTTCCTCCACTCTTGCGTGGGTCGCATGGATACGTTTGACCCGAAAATTTCTAGATCGCCGAATTCACGCCTTCTTTAAATTCCATTTCTTCACCTGGCGATTTTAAACATTGCGCAGACATGTTTGTAGTATCCTATTAGCATCGTTCCCGTCGCTATTTCCACAGTCGCTAGTATGCAAATAGCTATGCTCGTGTACATCAGAATCAAATAGAAAAATGCTTCTTGACCGATGAAATACTCAGTTATGATTTGTATCGTTAAAAGCGGTCTCGATTTATTCATGGGCAGAAATACGTCGACGTTGCGAGGCCAAAACGGCAAGGAAATAATATACTTACCATAAAGATGCAGATCTTTAATTAAAAAAAATGACAAACAGATCGTAGAGAGTTTTATACATAAAGAAATATATATACGATGTGTAGCACTATATATATCAAAGAAAAAAAGAAAGTCAAAACGGAACAGTGGTAAAAGCTAAAATGCGATATCTTACGTGTCAATGAAACTGTGTAACGTTTCGCGATGTTTTCGTATTTCTTTATAATATCTATTTCGTTCAGGTCTTGGAGTTCGTCGCAAGTGCGCTGAATTTGTTCTAACGAATTCTTTATCTGTTTCATCAACAATAATACACAATGTCGAGATTCATGTGGCAAAATTAGCGAAGGGCCACTCGTGTCCGGGGTTTATCGTACAACAAGAACTTATTTACATCGAATTACACTTATTCGAACAATAACGGAACGGTGAGGACTCAACATACAATTTCAACGTTGATCCGGAATACGTTGTATTCAATCAGAAGGGCAATTTGAAATGATACGGAAGAGAGAATTTTGATGACGAGATCAGGAGTGCATTCCGCGATGACGAACGGTGTGATCTGCAAGTAAGAATCATAACCAAATCGAATACAATTATTGCAGTGTGACGCATTTTTGTACTTCGAAATTTAACGCTGAAATTTGACTGCATTTTTTATTAATACGCCCAGTAAACGAAGAGTCATCACAAATGGCAAGGAAGAAATTTATTGCACTATTGCCGTATCGACGTATCTGAAACATCACGAAGGTCGTTAGGATGCCGGAAATGAAGATTTTCTGAAGTCGGACGAATCCCGATTGTTGATACGGCCATAAACCGATCGCGAGCAGAAGAATCCGATTGAGGCTGAAGTGTTGAGTCGTAATGTAGATCATCTTTCTGTGAGCATCGGGACGCATCTAAGCGCGTAAACATTCGCGAAATACGAGTATTTCCTTGGATCGATCTTCATCGAATATTTTCGTAGCTTCTTTTGAAATTTTTTTTTCGTTTTACCGTGAAATACTTAATACACATTACGAAAGAAACGTGCAAAGTGGCACAAATAATGAATATTGCTATCGTGACACTCGAAATTTAGTAATTTTCCATCGAGGCAATCATCGGCTTGCGAAGCGAAATTCGACAGGCGTTCTTTTCACATGAAATAATAGCGTTAATAATTTTGCGACCGAAGTCCGCGCAAGCGCAGTCGGTCTTCTTCAGCCTCACCGTGTTGCGCGCCTCATTGTTGCGCGTACATTCGAGAGATACACTTCGACTGTTGTCGACAGAAACGTTGTTCGATCGGTCGTACTACCTGTGAAAGTATCGGGAAGTAGAAGAGCCTCCTCGAATCTTCGAAAACAACCAGCGATTTCAAATTCAACGTTTCAGAACCGTGTTAAAGCACAAGAAGGTTCGTACACTTTATACGTTTATCTATTATATTTTTTCGAAGTTAAAGGATACGTTTACCTCTTATAAAAGATATGTTTACAAAGTCTTTTAATAACAGTTTTACGTACAAGTTTAATCGGTGAACGTATATAGTGCAATTAAGTTAAGTTTACTGAATTTATTAATATATAAATTAATATATAAATTTATAATTAAGAATAAGTTCACTGGAAAAAAAACGGTTAATTTAACAAAATCGTTGATCACCCTTATTCCTACTCTTATTCCATATCTTTATCCCCTAGATTATTGTGATGTCATTTATTAAAAACATTGAAGTTAAATGAAGTTAATATGTTATACGTTAAGCAATGATATATTACCTTCAAACAATTACAATTGAATACATTGTGAACAAATATGTAATATATAATATATAATATGTATAATGTGTTATCAGTGCGCATAATTTTTTAAAAATCCGTGTAAATAAAAAATAATTACTGGGTGGCCCATATAAAGCGTTGAAACAGATTAATGTTTCGAAAGAAATACATCATTCGAGAGAAAATTTCAGACAAATGTTGTAAGATTTCGTGGGCGCAAAATGGTAATATTATTACATTGTTAAACAATTTTTTTAAATATTAATTCAAGGTCAACTTTAATTTTTGCAATGGAATCATATGATTCTTTAAATAGCAAGAAAGGTAATTTTTTGTAAAAAATAAGTTTTTCGCAAAAATATCGTTTTTTTTTCTTATTTTACTCGATAAAAAGCCGGTTTCTTAAAACTATACACTCGTTAGTATTTATGATTCATTATTTCCTTAGCATCGTAATTGGTACACAATTTTCTGTCTTCATGTCACTTCATCTTCCGTCTAGATTACGGCTAATGTCGTTCGTACCTAATTATCCCTTTTTTGCTAACGTTGCTCCACTATGTTATTTGCTGACGAATTCTCGCGTTATTGTCGCGCAGAGTAAAGTACGGTAAAATAAGATACGGCGGTACTTGCAAACTGCAACGAAAAAAATTTTCTCTTGAATACTGAACTGCTGCTGAAGCTCAGCGCTTTCTCGAGTATATTCTAACGGAATTTATACCGAGGCGGCGTTTCTCAGAGATGCCACAAACAGTCCGCCTAGAGTCAGATTGAAAGCCTTGCCGCCTCTTTGCAGCAGAAATAATATTATCTTCTGTATTCGTAACGGGGCTGTGTACCACCGGACATTGTATCTGCGAAATGCCAAGAAATTAATATTCGGGGAGTTGACAGGAAGATTTACGATTAATTCGCGTAGCAGACTCACTTCGCGAAGTTTAATCAATTTCCACCGTTAACTTCGCGAAGCGAGCATTCGTGTGCGATCGTATTGTGCATAGTAGCTCCCTTACACGCTAACGAACACATCGTTATTGTGATCCGTGACTTGTTGCGCGGTATAATTGCCCATGAACATGTACACAAGAATGACGTTTGAATGTATGAAATATGTCAGAATCTCCTCCATGTCGGCTTCGAGCGACAAGATCTGAAAGATCTGAAACGTCGCGCGGTTGCAGTGAGACTCCTTCGAAATATTGTGGCATCTTTTTTATTTTTGAACGGATACAGATTCTAAATTCGAAAACAACATTCAGAATGGGAAATATAACGAAAAGTAAACCATGTGAGACTCACTCGATAGAGATTGAAGCTCAGGCTCGCCACACCGAACAAGATTAAAATGAAGAACGACATCTCAAAGTTGACTACTAAATATTCGGCAGACCTTTTGGGGAAAATAGAGCAAGTTATTTCTCGTGTGCCACGCACTTACCATCGATTAATTACCAACTTTAATGCTTGGCGATGAATGTTTACGGCGTGAATAATCTTCCTTATCGTATGAATTATAATTTCTTTCTTCAGATCGATGTGTCGCTCGATGTTCGTCTTCATCGCCTTCTCGATGCGGTAACTACAAATAATAATCTTTTCATTGTAATTGCGTAGTCTTTTTGAATTCGTTACAAAAATAAGAATAGATAAGAGCTCTTTTACAATTACATTATATCATTATCAATTTTTACAGAAAACGTCAGTAATGCTTTTCAACTTCGGTTTAGAAATCTCTTTAGGCCGAACGTATTATTTCTGAATACTCGTGAATCATAATAATTGTAAATTAAATAAATAAATAATTGTCGATTATGATACTCCAAAATATCCTGTTGAATTTTATTTGTAAAAGTCAAATAATTGCCGCATTCTTTTCGCTTTGCTGATCAGTTATTTCGAAACGAATTGTTGCTTACTCTTTAACTTTGTGAGTTGTCATCGCTGAGGTTATTCATTTTGATAACTTGTATTTTAATGGAGAAATAAATATTACGAAATAATGTTTAATATCGATATTATAACATAGAAAATGTTAAATCAGAAAATAAGTCACGTGAAAATCCTATTCTCGATTATCTTATTTTATCTGATTCTTCCTTAAAATATAATATGTCACACTGTGTGCGTGTTGTTTTTAAATCTGCGATTTATTTTCTAATCTTGCGTTAAATTTATAATACTCGCTTAACATTTACATATCTTCGATGAATTGCTTCACGAATATATCTTAGGCGCGATGCGTTTGACCTGAAAACTTCTAAATCACCGAACTGACGAATATTATCGACGTTTAAATCCCGTTTTCTTACCTGGCGATTCTGAACATTGCGCAGATGTGTTTGTAGTATCCCATCAGTATCGTTCCGGTTGCTATTTCCACAGTCATTGATATAAGAATAGCTATGCTGGTGTGTAGCATAATTAAATAAGAATACGTTTCTTGATCGATGAAATACTCGGTCGTGATTTGCGTCGTTATAAACGGCCTTGATTCATTCATGGGCAGAAAGTAGTCGATGATGCAAGGCCAAATCGACGCGATAATCATTATACTTACCATGATTGCTGAGAGAAAAATGTACATTTGGAACTATAACGGCATAGTTACAAAATTATAGTCAGGAATGCCATTTATAGAGTTAGCATTACTGTAAAATTAGATTGACGATACAGGCATAGTATTACCAACTCATGCAAATTTTTTACCATGAATCATAATAATTTCAAGTATAAATATAGTATAAATATGTTGCAAAATATGGGATTTTGTTAATTGGAATTGAACATTTTACATTGTCAACACAATTGAAATAAATAGCAAATAATAATATATGTAATTGCAATTTTAACAAGTGCTTTACTATACATATGGCAAAAATAACAAAGAAAATAGTGATAAAGAAACAGCTATTACTAAAAAGCGCATATGACTGTACGAATGTTACATTTGTGACTATATTTGTACCTGGTAAAGTACCGTACAGGTAAAGAAATGTGACAATACCACTGTATGAACATGGTAAACTTAATTATATACAGGATATCTAACAAAGATATTAATCTTACGGAATTTTCGCTTCTTGCGCATTCTCATTCGTTGGTATGCTTTAATTTCATATTTTAATTACTTACTTTTTATAACATTAAATTATAATATTGGAAAGTCAGCTAATTGCGCTAGTTATAACATGTGTGGACAATACATTTATCGTTTTAAAATTTGACGTTGCGTGTAAATTAGGCGACTCACTACCCAAAAGTCTCAAGTCTGAATCCACCAGGGAAGCGTGCTTTCCAAATACGATATAATATTGAATAGCTATTTATTAAGAGATTAGTTTACTCTAGAAATTTAAAAAGTCCAGATTTCAAAAATAAGTTTCTAGAAAATTTTGTTTAAATTCATAAAAATAACGAAGATATATTTCTTGTTTGCGGTGTCCAAGCCACTTGGTGCACTGATTGAAGCTAAATCCGGAGTCATTTTGTCACATTATGCATGCTTAGAAGACCAATAAACATATGTTTGAAGCTAACAATGACTATAAAATATAGAGAAATTATATTTACTCGGATCATTCTTTCCCTCAGTAAGGATGCAGAACACTGATTCAAAAAATGATCCAACAGATCGTAGTTTTACATATGTAAAATATATATACACGATATAAAGCAATATTTAATAAAAAATAGAAAGCATAAACGAAACAATGGTGAAAGCCAAAACGCGATATCTTACATGTCAGTACAACCGTGTAACGTTTCGAGATGCTTCCGTACTTCTTTATAATATGTATTTCATTCGCGTCTCGAAGTTCGTTGCAGGCGTGCTGAACTTGCTCTAAGGAATTCTTCACCTGTTGCGTCAACAATAATAACTCAATATCGTGTTTCCACGCGCGAAATTCGCAAAGGGCCATTATATCGCGCGCGCGGATTATCGTGCAACAAGGATTCATTTGTATCGGATAATCGCGCATAATTGCGAACAGTAACAGTAAGGGCTCAACCTACAATTTCGACGTTAATCCGAAACGCGATGTACTTAATCAGGATGTTAATGTAAAATAATGTGGAAGCGAAAACTTTGATGACGAGATCAGGTGTGCATTCCGCAGTGACGAACGTTGTGAGCTGCAAACAAGATTCATAATCAAATCGCATACAATTGTCGCAGTATGACGCAATCGTATTTTGATATTTGAGCGCTGAGCGACTGTATCTTTTCCCCCTTTTTTTTTATATATAGTACGCGCGCGCGAAACAAAGACTCGTCGCAAGTGGCATCGAGTCGTCACCGGAGTCATTACAAACGGCGAGGAAGAGATTTATTGCGGAGAAGTGAGGCGACGTTGATACTGACGTACCTGAAACGTCACGAAGGTCGTTAGGATGGTAGGGACGATAATTGTCTGAAAATGAAGAACGAGTTTCGATCGCTGATAAGGCCACAAGCCGACCACGAGCAGAAGGATCCGATTCAGACCGAAGTGTTGAGTCGTGATGCAGATCATCTTTTCGCGAGCATCAGGACGCGTCTGACATTTCGCGTCGACGTCCGCGAAATTTCGCATATTCCTTCCTCTCGAACGGTCTCTCCATCGAATATTCTTGTAATTTCCCTTAGAATGCGTATTTTTGTAGTTTCCGTGATGTATGTGAACTGAACTCACAGCAACAAAAGAAACGCGCAAGGCACAAATTATTAACATCGCGCTCGTAATTTAGTAATTTTGCCATCGAGGTGGTCGGCTCGCCTAGCGAAATTCGACGAGCCTCCACTTCGCATCGAGCAACAATCGTGAAATAATTTTTCGATCGGAAAGTCCACGCAAGCGCAGTCGGTTTTCCGCGGTCGCGCCGTTTCGCGCGCCCCATTGTTGCGCGTACATTCGAGAGATACACTTCGATTGTCGTTGTCGTCCGATCGGTCGTGCTGCCTGTGCAATCTATCACTAGCGCCGGCGAAGTAGAGAGGCCGCTTCGCATCTTCGAGGACAGTCTGCGATCTCAAAATCTTACGTCCTAGAAGTGTTAAGGCATAAGTGGGTTCGAACACTCTATACGTTTAAACTATATCCCGAGATTATCGTTTCGTTTCTTCTCGAGCGAAGCTAATCTACCGCGATGCGCTTCTCTCTGAATCCACAATATCTACATAGATAAAAGACGCAGCCGGTATCTTGGTTTTGCGACGACTTCATGGATTTTCGGGTATCGGTTAATTTTAATTCGCACTTGTGCAAATTAAGTAACTTTCCTTTCTTTATTGTTGCGTTACGGTAGGCTGCATTATGACTTCCAAGCAGATCGATGCAGCTTAGAGAAAGGGAGATTTCTCTTGACATTCTATGAAAATATAATTTGATATTAGGCAACGCACATTGAACGTTGTGTGTTATTTCCTCTCAATCTGCGTGGAGTATATAACGGTAAAGTAAGACAACGACGCGCTGATCCACTGCAACATAAGAATTCGTCTTATACCGTTTCTCGTTTCCGGTATGCTACAATGCTTGAATATGCCAGTGTGATGTACACGATGCACTTCTTACCGTGGAGAAGAGTTCTATAGATAATACAAACAGTCCACTAATATTCAAGAAGAATGGCTTATTGCCTCTTTGTAATAGCAATAGTATCAACTTCTGTATACTTAGCGGTGCTATGTACCAGCGAACATTATATCTGTGAAAAATAGATGAAATTTGAAACTGATAAATGGAAAAGATAACAATATAATTAGGTATAATTCAACATTCGGATGTGCGCTTTTTATGACTGATTCAAACGTTAATTTCATTTTTTTCGCGAGCACGCGACGCGACGATTCATGTATATAATAAACGCGAGCGTATTACGAATGTATATCTTACACGACGTGAAACAGATTGTTATTGTGATCTGTGATTTCTTGTCCGCCGATATTACTTAAAAACATATATATGAGAATGGCACTGATGTACGCGAAATGTAACCAAAATTCCTCCATAGTGCCTCCAAATGATACAATCTGAAAAATCTGTATTACCAATGTTATGATGAGTATTATAGAAGTGATTTGGGGTTTTTGGTTTTAGGCAGATACGTTATATTATGAAAAATACATTACTTATATGTTTTTGTTGCCAACAAAGAAACGTTTTTCACCGTTGTGCACCGAAAAGAAACACGTCTTTCGCTATTAGTTAATATCCATCATTGCTACGAGATCTTGAGAAGTAAGCTCTTTGTCCGAATAATTAATTCCACGCTAACTATTACAATTATTGCACAATGGTGCATAACTTTTCTATCAGTTTAATCTCTTATCTGCGCATGAGTGCTTGTAAGAATGATATCAAACACCCTATATACTTTCTCGTGCGAAATAAAATTTAATCTCAGAAATTCTTAAAATTTTTAAAACTTATGAGCTTTAGAAATATTTAAAATAAGATAATTGGATAAAATTTATAGTACTTCATAATTTACTTAAATTTGTAAAAATTGTTATATTTTTAGTATGACATTTTTATGATGTTTCATTATTACTTTCGTGAATTTTCAAATATTTATGAAGAAAATTTTACATCAAATTTATCGTTCCGTAACCAAATTTTATTCTGAGATCGCATTTTTATGGATTTTTGTGGATAAGTCGTAAACGCTGCGCTGTAAGACCTAAGTCGAAATTGTAGTTCTAAATTAAATCTACGTTACAAATCCAAATGAGTAATTTTATACATTTGGATTTGCAGTGTATGCAAAATGTAATTTTTACACGCGTGTTTAAAATTACAGCAGTAACATGTGTAGTATAAAAATGACTATGTGATTTTGCACACATAAGTGTAAGTCTCTCTTTTTGGCCAGATTTTAATTTAGCAAAAAATGCAAAACCATTTTGCATAAATATAACTGCGTACACGTTGTGCTAGCGTGCCCAGTCGTGTACTTTGTTGAGCTGCGATCGTACGAGAATTACGCAACAGATAGAACTTACTCGAAAAAGATTAAGACTCAAGCAGCTTACAGAAAGTATTACCAAAATGAACAGCGTTGTCTCAGTGCTGCTCATCATAAACTCACTGAACCTTCAAGAACAAGAAAATATTACGTCTTATAAATGTCATCCCGTATAATCGAAAAAATACCAACTTCATAGCTTTTCGGTGAATATCGACGGCGCAAATAATGCCGTTGTGAATCATGATTTGATTCTTCTGGCTTTTTCGATTGTTCATCTCCATTGCCTGCTGGATACGATAACTACAAATACTTTCTCATTATCATAATTATATTATTTATCCGAAATCTTTAAAAATTACAGGTGTGGTATTCTTTAAAATCTGTGCATACACATTCTAGTGCATGAATCATTTCTCACCTAGCGATTCGAAACATTCCGCAAATATATTTCATATTTGTCAAGAGCATTGCTCCGGTCGCTATTGTCGTGATGACGCCTATAAAAAAAGCTGCGAACGTGTGCAGTGCAAGTAAGTAGAAATATTTTTCTTGATCGACAAAGTATTCAGTGACGACTTGTATTACGCGACGCGGTCGGGAGTTATTCGTGAACTGGAAAATGCTGAAGATGCGTGGCCACGTTGGTTGGACAAAAATAATAAATAGGCTACCAATCACTGCGAATATTTGGTACAGTCGTTATCAATCGGTGCTTTGCAATTCGTCCGAATGTTGCTAAATTGTTTAACGTTTCTTGCATTTTTTTTTGTAAATTTATGCGTTTTCTTATTAGTATATCGTTGAATATCTCTTGTAAAAAAAACCGATTTCAAAAGTCTCGACTTCTTTAATCCTGCAATTGCTTGTCTGTTAATAACAACCTTATCTTACATATAAGTTTCATCGTGTTACGTTCCGCTATGCTCGCATATCTTGCAATGATAGCTATTTCGTTTTCATCTTTCAGCTCTTTATAAATGTGTTGAAGTTGCTCCAATATTTGTGACACCTGTCGTGCCAACACTATTTTATGCTTCTGCTCGCGATTAAGGTTTAAAAAAATTGTTGTATACATAGCTTCCCTTAACTCTTTGCTGACGTGACGGTTTGGAGCGCAAATGTTTACTATATAGGGCGTATTATTTTTTATCTATCATCTTTTACATCTTTGCAACGCAGGATTGGATAAAAAATATGTTCAGACAAAATGTCCGATATTTAGTGTGTCATCTTATGGTAATCTTTATTTGACATTTGGTCAACGTTAAAGAATTATTTCAAGGTCAACTTTATTTTTTAAATGAAATTAGTTTTTTTTAAATACATATCGATTTTTCTGTGCATTCTGTATATAAAAATATTAGGGTAAGTTTATTGAAAAATAAATACTTTTCGAGATACTTTATTTTTTGTTTTTTTAAATTTTTTTAGTACAAGATATGAAATATCTCATAAAGTATTTATTTTTCGATATCGTTACCTTAACACTATTCTACATAATAATATGATATACATGATAATATATCGGTTATTGATATTAATCATGGTCCATTGGTGTATATACAAAATGCAATGAATATTTTTAAGGTCCTTCTACTTACAGTATTCGGTTCCACGTGTTATCCCATGTACAAAAGTGTTAAAGTGACGTTATCGAAAGGTATGAATACATTATGAGTTATTTCATATCTTGTATAATGAAAAATATCAGAATAAAAATTAAAGTATTTCGAAAAGTATTCACTTTTCGATGATATTATCATAGTACTTTTATGTGCAAAACGAATAAAAAATTGATTTGTTAAAAGAAAACTATATTATTCCGTTTAAAAAAATGAATTAGAACTTGAAATAACTTTCTGCCTATGCTTCTCCAAGTTTAAATAAAGTTCACCATCAGATGAAGCCCCAATTTTTATCTGAACAACTTTTGTTTGAACATATTTTTGATTAGATCTTACTTTGTAAAGATAGAATAGAATGATAGATCAGAATAGCACACCCTATATAAATAGCGTAGAAAATGATAACTTGAACTATACGCTTCAATAATATTTCATATTAATAAAGATCGTGCTTCCACGTATGCTGTAAGCAAACAATTGCTGATCGAGCATGTCGAAATATTTTCATCACATTTTTGTCGTTTTCCGAAACGGAAAAAATATTTTGCCGGTAATATCCAGGCACATATCCGCAAAGGGTTAATATCGGAATTATATATTCACATCGACAAAGAGAATACTTACGTGTTCAGTATTAATATAAAACAAATTGTATAAATTCAAGTAAATTATGAAAAGCAGTACTGAACAGAAAACTTTGATGACGTAGTCAACATTACAGTCCACAGTTATGAACGATGTAAGCTGTAAACAATAAATTTGTCGAAAAACGACAGTAAATAAGAAAAATGACATACCCTTGTACAAAATGCAAATCGGTTGGTTTCGTGTGTACAATGATGCGACAAATAGTCTAATCACACGATACATCATGAAAGTAAAATTTGCGTCTACCTGAAACACAATGAAGCTCGACAAAATAGTGATAGATAGAATATTCTGAAGATGCGTGAATTTCGAACGCTGATATGGCCATAAGCCGATCGAGAGCAAAAGAATTCGATTGATGGCTAAGTGCTGGTACGGATTGAAGCACATTATCTCTCCTGGAATACCGGAACGTGTCTGATCACGGAGAAGACTGCATAGGGCTCCCGCCTATTTTTCCGATCGATAAAATATACGTAAGACTCTTTTCTTCTCTATATATTCCAACAAAAATTATCAATTTTGCATAATCGCAGCATAAAATTACATGTAATATTTTCGTGAATGAAGTCGCCACTTTTACACCGTAAAATAATACCGTGAGATCGAGATACATGCTGTTTGACAATTTCGGCTGGAAAGAATCGTCGATTCAACAGTCGATTCGACGGTGAAAGAACTTCTACGGATGTTTATTTTTTATAAACTCTTTATCTCACTGCAATTGTGAGATATTTTCTTGATCGAAGTTTGCGCAAGCGCGGTTGTCTCTTTTTCCAGACCTATTCTTTCGTATGTTTTATTGTAATGCATGTATTCGTAAGAAACGCACGTGTAACCATTGAGAAAAATTTCGCTCAGTTGTTCTGCCTTTCTATTATGTCACCTGTTGTATCATTGCCCATTAAGATGTAAGATACATTATATACTGCAGTACTGAGTTTTTATTTATGTCGTGACAATCTATAATATGAGAAATATGTATTCTTCATAAATTAAAATGTAATATTTATTTCATTTACATCATTTGGACAAATATGTCCCAGAAACATTTTTAACAAATTATTTTAACTAATTATTTTAACTCTTTCACGTATTTTTTAATTATTACTTGTGTTATTCTAATATCATACTTTTAGTTGCAATAACATATATAAATGTAAAATAAAATATGTTTGTATTAAATAATTAACATTTTCAGTATGTTAAGAAATAACAATATGTTATTTTAAAATTTAAAGTGGACTTTCTGGAACATATAAAAATTGTTAAAATTGATGAAAATTGATTAATTTTTTACTATATAAGGCGATGCAAAATAACACCATTGGACCGGGACACTCGCAATTTAACAACTTCTGCAAGGGAAGTGGTTGGCAATTATACGATCGATTTCACACCGCACGAAATTCAACGGACATTTATTTTTTTATAAACTGACAAACGTGTGATTATTTTCGATCG